TATTGCTTTCAGTTAATCTGAATTTGAACAACAATGTATTCTTTTATTCTAATTTTTATTACAGCAGCATAACTCTACTGACATGAATGAAGATACTTCTAATTTACAGTAGCATGAATGGGACTAGAATGAGAATTTTTCAAATATGAACTTCAAATATGTTCTGCATTGGTGGATATTAAAAATGAAGATGGCATGAGCTAACCAACAGCTAATTTTTCTTATCTGATCACTACTAGAAACAGAGCAAATTATCTTAGCTTTGACTTATTTTAATGGTGCTAGTCAGCTAATAAATCAATAGAGTGTTGCTCATAGTCTTATTACATTGGGGTAATAATACCTTTGCAAGTTTTTTAATTGTTTAAAACTAGATCCTGCTTAACAGGATCCTGCTTTCTACATTCAAAGAGAAAAATGCCTGAGGTTTCCTAAACAAGGGTAATTTCTGGATGCTTCTCATATCCCCAGTTCAAAAAACTTAGCAGAAGGTTTGAAGACTATCTCTAATATTAAAATTAGTTTTGAATCTTCAACCTACAATTCATCACTGAACCGATGCTAAGACAAGAACAGACCTAAAGGAAACATGATGTTGCAAATGCATTGTGTGATGGAACATCATTGTTTACTTATAAGGGTAACTGATTAATTCCTTCAAAAAAGTACAGTAAAATATCAATTTTTCTTTTGTGGTCCTTTTCACCTCACTATCTGATGGCCACTATCCATCACACCAATGAAATTTATGGCTGTATAGATTTCTAACCCTGGCTTTTTCTTTCAGTCTTCCTTTCTTGCTATTACCTTGTTTCTACTTGCTCATTTATCTCTTCACTATTTAGTTTATAATAGCCCATCTGCTTCTCAGAAACTACTTAGAACTGCTGCCAGGGAGCAGCACTTCCACCTTGAAATATCATTACAGAAGGAAAGATACCAGAGGATATTCATGGGCAAAATCTGGAATTTGACTGGCCAGGATGATGCAAATAAATAAACATTAAAGCAGGCGCTTTTCTACTCTTGGGAGCATATTTCATGAAAGATACAAAAGAACAGAAAAAACCTGTTACATGAGAACAGAGGAAGGAAGGAAGGAAGGAAGGAAGGAAGGAAGGAAGGAAGGAAGGAGCTTACACAGTCTGTCTCTACTGCCAGCACAGCAGGCTGTTTCTCTTAAGTGCTTGTGTTCATGTGGTTTGCTTCCCGACAACAAAATCACCTGCTAAAATGTTCAACAAAGGCAGAACAGAAACTCCACAGCTGAGCTGCCTCTTAAACCAAGTTGCAAAAAATTCAAATTAATTCTGGCCTGAGAAAAGGAGAAAAGGGCTCCTAATTTAATATGGTGTTTGACTAGTATGGAACTAATCCTCTGAATCAAATAAATTTTAAAATGAAAGGGCTAGTCTCTGACAGTGACAGAAGAGAAAAATGCTGCCTATTTGTGTGATTAATAAAAATGTATGTCTGCAATAAAATTATTGTTGTGGAGGGGGAAATGTGTTTGATGAAGTGATAAACTTGGATGCTGAAGTAAGGTTTGTTTATTCTCTATGAATGTCAGTTCCTGTGAGCTATCAGATGCAATAAAGCATAAAATTCTGTTTGATTTATATTCACATAGTCTAATATCATATAATAAGTGATACTGAAAGCCACAAGACATATCTTCTAGGGCTGGTAATTTAATTTCAGTATTTTTGGATTAGTGATGGAAAGTTATGGATTAGAAAAGATATCAATGTATGTGAACCTTTCAGATAAATAAAGTACCAGAAAGTACTCTCCTGAGATAAGAAGGTTAATAGATATACCCTTGAATTTAAGCTTTTTTAAGTGCTGTGTCACCAGTATATTCTTTGGTTATAGAAGTTTGCAAAACCACAAGTTAAGCAGGCTTTGAACTGGAAAAAAAACCCCCAACAAATGAACAAACCACCAGTTAAAATAAGACTTACATAATTTTGAACATTTGCTGTACACTTCCATATGAAAGGAACAGATTTAAATTGTTGCACCAAGCTTGATGCCGATAGTATAATTAAAAGAAAAGATAAATCAGAACCAAAATTCATCAGAGGAATTGATTTAGCTAACACACTTTCACAAATTACAAAGCCAGAGGGGGACAACCATAATCATCTAGTTTGACCTCTTGCATTCCACGTCATGTGATTTTTCTGAATTAATTTTCATCTCATTTAGCACTTATCTTTTAGAAATACATTTGATCTTGATTTTAAAATGCATAGTAAAATGGCTGCATTTGAATACCATGGAGATTTTGTACATGGTGAATATTTTCACTAAGTTAAGTTTCACTCATACTTTAAAACTTACTATGTTTTCACAGGTATACTCATTTATACAACCATGTGATGAGCATGTGTGTTTAGCTGACTACACCTGATCTTTGCATCACCTGCCAGCTTCTTCAAGGTCACTGAGGAATGACTATAACAGAACCAAGAGCTGACAGTAGGAATTCATAGGCTCAGCAATGATTCTTTGTCTACCTTTTCATTCTGGGTAACCCATTTTTCATCTTTATAATGTGTCCTACATTGATTTTTTTACTAGCCTGCTCCCTGATCAGAATGTGTGATATCAATCAAAACAAAGTCTTCCTATTCTCTAGGAATACTGAATTTAGGCAGCTAATTAATCTGCATATTATATTATTTATGTATTTATCAATCAAATTTGTAATCTTGTTGAAAAAATGAATGAGTTTCATGACAAGTTTTTCACAAATTCATGGTTTTTACAAATATTTTTGCCTTTTTAATTCAATTTCTTACTCTTCATAGGAATCATAGAATAGCTTGGGTTGGAACGGAAGCGACCTTAAAGATCATCTAGTCCCAACCCCTCTACTATAGGCAAGGAAACTTCCAGCAGGCAAGGTTGCTCAAAGCTCCATCCAACCTGGCCTTGAAGATTTCCAGGGATGGGATATCCACGACTTCTCTGGGCAGCCTGTTTCAGTTCCTCACCACCCTTACAGTAAACAGTTTATTCCTGATGTCTAGTGTAAACCTACTCTCTTTCAGCTTAAATCCATCTCCCACCTTTTCTTATCACTGCATACTTTTGTGAAAAGTCCCACTCCATCTTTCTCTTCAGGTACTGGGAAACGACAATTAAGTCACCCTTAAGCCATCTCTTTTCCAGTCTGACCAACCCCAATTCTTTTAACCTTTCCTGGTAGGAGAGGTGCTTCGTCCCTCTGATCACCTCGATGGCCCTTCTCTAGACTAGCTCCAAAGGTCAATGTCCTTCTTGTGCTGGGGACCTCAGAGCTGCATGCAGCACTGCAGGTGGAGTCACTCCTGGTGACAGAGGAAGAAACATTACGTCAAAAAAGACATTACTTGATTTTTTTGGAAACTTGAAATCAAATAGTGGAATTACAAACATTTTAGCAGAGGAAACAAGCTGGAGCATGAGTGTGATTGTCTGTTATTGATTACCAAATGGTCATTCTCTAAATCTCTTCACCACTAGTAAAGACCATGGCAAGCTCCTTAAATAGGGCTCTTTTTGTGTACCGAGTAATCCTGCATTCCCACATTGTCAGGAGAGTCTAAATCACTTCTCAATATTCATACCTCAACTCACTAACCTTAGGTGTTTTCATTAGCTGCAGACTAATCTTTCTTTATGGTGTTTTCAAACTCTACTCTTCTAATTTATGTAAGATAGATGCTGATCCCACCTGTATATCTGAGTATATTTCACTCTATAACATATTTAGACTAAAAGGTTCACTCAGGTTCCCTGTGGAGGAGAAAATAAATTTTTTCTTTGTTTTACACAAGGAACTAAAGCAAAGTGAGTAGGTCTATAGAAATAGGAGGAGGTATTCCAGGTGTAGGTATGCTGCATTGAACTTTGAAGGCAGTAGAGAAGGCTGCACACTGATAAAAAACAATTGGGTAGCCTAAAGCACTGTCTAGAGCTAAGCACTCTATGCACGGTGTTAATGAATTAATATCTGCCTCTCTATTATGCTTGTGTTGGAAGTGGCATCATAACACTTTTCTACAGACGTGCAGACCCTGCACTGAAATGCTTGACTGAGCTAGCTGTGCCATGTCCCAATAGAAATGGCACTTTTATCAGACTCATTAAATTATTCAGATATTTAGTGAACAGATTGCCTGAATAAGAGGGGATTTTATCAGTCACAAGTTCAGACCTGCCCCTTCTCCTTCAAAGATTGTACACTTGGCAAAGTATGAAAATATTTCAAGAAGTAATGACCAAAAGCCAGGAAACCTATCATGCTGTTTAACCAGCACTTCTGGGTTGTCTTGAACTGCTTTCTGCCAGCTGAGCCCCTTTCAGAATGGCTGAGGGGCAGTTGCTGTATCGAGATCCCACAATGGATGTTTGAAACATCCTCAGCGCAGTGAATGCATGCTAAACTCAACCTACAGTGAGGTCTCACAAATCTGCAAATCCAATGAAACCTCCCATTTATCTGCTCAGTTCTCTGAGGGATTTTCCCACCAGTGTTGGGAAACCCACAGCGTTCCTGCTTTAGCCTAACTTTCAAAGCAGCACAGAAATGAGGCAGCCTCATTAGCCACTGTTTTTTCATGGCTCCTTTAACCCTGCGCTTCCTCCCACCAAAGCCTTCCACAAGCTCGAATTTACAAATATCTTGATTATATCTGGAATCTAATGTAGAAATGTCTAAAGGGAAGTGCTTGTGTAAGAGAGGGTGAGAAACCGAGGAGAAGCAGAGTCAGAAGAGGGATGGGCAAGCTGGAAGTAGGGTTGGGGAGAGGTGAGGAGCTGGGGATGAGCTGAAGCGGGGGGAGGAGGGGGGGGGAGGCATGCAGAAATGCGGGGGTGCGTGAGGATGCGTGTGCATGGTTTGGGGAACAAAAATCTACATCGTCTGAAGCGGACGTGACTTTTCCGCCGGGGGCGGGTGCACTCCGGCACCTGAGGCATGCAGCCTACCCCGAGCAGCCTTTTCCACGACGGTGCAGGAGGTGAAGCCTCCCCCGCGGAGGCTGCACCCCTTGCCCGGTCGGGGAAAAGGCTCGTCAGGGCGGGTTGGGGACCGACGCGGATCCCCAGCCTGTTCCCGCATTGGTTCCCGTAAGTTCCCGCGTCATTTTTCTCCCCACACCCCGCTTTTCGCACTGGCAACCACAAGCCCCGATGGACGGGCGGGAGAAAGCTCGGATGCTCTGAGAGGGTCTGGGTTTGGGTTTGTTGGTTGTTGTTTTTTTCCCAGCCTCCGGAACAACCACTAGGGATGTCCGGGATTCAACCAGAGGATGGTTCCCCTCCGTACAGGAATTGGACGAGTGGGTCGGAACTAAATGAAACGCGGGAGGCTCTTTTAACCCCTTCCTCCGACTACGATGATGAGGAGTTCCTGCGATATCTCTGGAAGGAGTATTTGCATCCCAAGGAATATGAATGGGCGCTGATCGCCGGCTACATCGTCGTCTTCATTGTGGCTCTCGTTGGGAACGTCTTGGGTGAGTCGAGCTTCCCAAAACTTCCCGTTCTCCCTTCCCGAGATGGGTTGTGCACGGAGCGTGCTGGAAGCCGGGGAGGGTTTGGCACACCCCGCTGGCAAGGCGGCAGTCCCCAGCCGAGGGGGAAAGTTGGGGCTGCGCGGAAGGGGCCCTAAAACCGCTCCCCCTGCGCGGGCTCGGGGCTGCGGCGGCGGCCGCTGGCGCCCAGGGCCGGGCTCGGGGAGCGCGCTGGCGGAGCGCACAGCCGCGGCTGCCGGCCCTGTCCCCCGCGCCGAGGTGCTGAACCCGCCCGCCGCTCCACCTCGCAGCCCGCTCGCGAGGACGCCTCTCCCTCACGCAGCCCCGGCCCGGCGCTGGGGATATCGAGCGCGGGGTGATTCTCCGAACAGAGACAGGGGCACCGGGACGGCGCCCGGCCCGTGAGGGGGCGGCGGGGTCCCCTCAGCTGCCGGCGGACGCGGAACGCGCGGCTCCTTCCCGGCTCGCAGCGGCCGCGCTCCGGCCCCGCGCTCGGAGCGGAGCGGGGACGTGGGGCGGGGGCGAGGCGGCCCCTCCCGGGCGCTCATTGAGGGAGCGAGGCGGGGCGGCGCCTCTCCTGAAGCCCGCCTCCTCCTGCTTCCATTCATCCTTGAAGGAAGCGGCGGGGGCACCGCGGCTGCTCGGCAGCCGCCTCGAAGGGGCGCTGGAGTGTGGCGGAGAGCTGAGGATAGTGAAGGGAAGGAGGGCACGGGTAGGCTGTGGCGGCGGGCGGGAGCGGCAGAGGGGGCTGGCTGTCAGCAGCCCGCCCGCTGCCCCCACCGCTCCTCTCCTCTCCCCATCTCTCCTCTCCGCTCCCCCGAGCCCTCTGCCGCCCACGGCGGGGCTCTAGCCGGGCTGTGGCGCCTGTGCTTGTTTAGGAGAGGGCAGTGGGTGTGCCCACCCCCGCCCTGGGCCGAGCCCGCTCCCGCGGCCCTGCCCCGTCCCACGGCGGCCGTGCCCCCTCACGGGCTGCGGGCGGCCGGCGGAGCGGAGCAGGCGCTGCCCTCAGCACTCTGCGTTTGTGAATGGACGCGGTGTGAGCCGGGAGCCGGCTCCGCCAGGCGGATCCCTGGGCTGCGGCCGCGGCCATTGGCGTTCCCGGTGCCCATCCCTGGCATACCGCCGCGAACGGAGCGCGCTGGGCCCGCCCCGCCATACGGGTCCTTCATTCATGTTTTTCAGAAGGAATTGTGCGTGTCAGGGCTGTCACTGCAAACTCTACAGGCTTCCCGAAGTGGCATGCAAATGAGACTACAGCCAAAGGCAGTATTTTAAAGGCATTTTTAAATTTTCAACGGATTGTTATTTGATTTTTTTTAAGTAATTCTATAACGTTGAGTGCCTGTGTGCACGTTTGCTCAGTCCATTGCTCGGCAGCCAGCTTGATCGACAGTGTAAAGATAACAGCCCTGGCAAAGAGGCTTTATTTTAAACTAGGATAAAAGCTGTCCTTTTTCATGTGTTTCAGCAAAAACTTTTAGGAGAACCACCTGTACTTGCCTATTATCCTTCACAGATACTGTAGACAAGCTGTCCTCTCACCTGTAAAAATTCAAGGTCAAACCTTCAGCTATAGGAGCTTTCGCCCTGTTTACACTTTTCCCCTCTGAAGCCAGGAGGAGAAAAGCTTTTCTCTCTCTGCACTCACAAATAGAGATTATTCCAGTGCAGATGTCCAGCTGTTCTTTCCTTGCATGTGAGTACATTAACTCTTTGCTTGGGATGGAAATTGGCATCTGGCTCTGCACCCGCCTGGATTCCATCTTTTACTGGATGGAATGTCCACCGTTTGTCCTCTGAAATCTCTCTCTCCAAGTTGTAGTACCTGGTAGCAAATCTCTGTCTTAAAATGGACAGAGAAGCTGAACACCTTTCTATCCACTCTAAATCACAGTAAATCCTACAACAGATCATTCAGCTTTGCAGCTGCACTCAGTGTTCTTAAAGGTCTTTTCCAACCCAAATGATTCTGTGATCCTCCTCAAGCTGTTTGCTCCATATTGCTGGTTCCGTTCATGGATGAATTGTTTGTGGTCTCTGCAGGTGCTTGGTAACTGAATACTGTCTCATCTTTATTCAAGAAAGCTCACACTGCACTGATTGCAGGCTCATGTGATTCTGAGGAGAGAAATGGATGTCATCTAATGCTCTTTACAAAAACATTTTTGAGGAACTCTTTTACTACCAGTGGAATCTGAGGTAGAACAGTGCACATGTTGATATCTCTGAGAAACTGATTTCTGCTGCTTGAAAAATCCATATTCAAGCTTAATCTGGGATTTAGTCATGGACTTTCTCAAAGAGCAGGAGTGCTTCTAAAGAGCATTTTAGTGGCTACTAGTGCTTCACAGTATCATTCTTGTGCTTTATGGTATCATCCTTAATGATGCATTGAGTTCCTTTGCTTACATTTGTTGCAGAGCTTGTGGCATGTGGAGTTAATGCTTTGGTTCTATTTTTAACACATCCTATTCAAATAACACTTAAGCAACTGGGAAAACCCTTCCTTTCACTATGTGGTGCTGAAAATTACATTTCTGCTTCTTATTTTGGTTTGTGCACTCACATGGGATAAGGAATGTCTCAGAAATTGTATCTGTGCAAGTGGAAGGCACAGCACATTCCTTAGATATTAGTAATAAACTGGATTGAAGCACTCTGACAATTAATTAACAACCAAGGGTAGAATCAGAAGCTTGAACTTTGATTGACATGTATTGGGTTCTTGAGTGAGAGACACAGCAGGAATTCCACTAATAATAGCATATAACAAGGGCTGCATTAATATTAAGCTTTCAATTTAATTAGGACAGTTGACACAAACTGTCCGAGCTGTTGCACAAACCAGCTAAAGTGAAAAACATTTGCAAGTCTCTGTGTTTGAATGCAGGTTTCAGTATTGCACACAGTGCTTTGTGTCAATGATTCTCTTGTATAATTGGGTTGGCTGCTCACCAGGTATTTCAGTGTAAGTCAAGGAAAAGAAACAGATTTTAAGATGATTTTATGACATATTTACATGAATCTGAAATCTAGATGGAAATATCAGTATGATGATTTGTCCTATTTTCTTCTTCACTTGGTGACTATTTATCACTAGAAGCAGAACAAGTGTAGAGGGCAAGGATTTCCTGTTTTGCAAATAAGACAAAAAATTTTCTTTACTACTGCAGATCAATGAAACTCTTGCAATTTATTTGCACATCTAGTGCAAACGTAGAACTTCTTAATGCAGAATGTATGTTGACTGTAAAGATATTTTTCTTCTTTATTTGAAAACAGGTCATTAAAAACATTGATTGAAAATAGGAAACTAGATAATTAAAGAAGAAAAGGTATTTTTAGGATATCTAGAGATCTCTGGTTACTGATGCCATTCCAGGCTGATCAGTTGCAGTAGTTAATAACTGCAGTAAGACTACAAGGGATTGAAAGGTAGTGTACAGCTACATATATTTAACTCTGTTTATGCATATGGAGAATGCAAATGACCCTTGTTGAAGCTACTCATTCACGTGGGTCAGGATTTTTCTAATGAAATGGTTTCTCTCAGGGAACATGCATTCATCAAAATGAAAATGTGCAACAGAGATCACTTGGTTTGATCAAAGACTGAAGGCAAAACAAGCAACCTTGTGGCATGCCAGCAGCTGGGCTGCTGGGCCTCTTGGCAGGCCTTCTCAGAGCTGGCAGGAGCTGCAGTCCTTAGCACATACAGCCTGCCAGTGCCCAGCTTGAAAGTCCTCAGCACTGCTGGCTTCCAAGGGTAAGAGACCATGCAGTACATCAGTGAGAAGTCTCAGAAACTTTATTTACTCAAACAGTTTGGAGATACTTTTTTTTCATTCCAACTCTGAAAGAGATTGGGAGAGACTTACCCCTGTCTGGATAGATGTATTATTTATTATCTGTTTTACAGTAACTGCTAGTTTTGCTGAGATCTGTAAGAACCCAACTATGCTCCTTTCTTCAAAGAGTTCATAGTCTGACTCATAGAGTTCAACAGCCTCCATTTGATTTTTCTAGGGCTAGAGCAGAAAAAAAATCAGTGAGAACCCAACTATGCTCCTTTCTTCAAAGAGTTCATAGTCTGACTCATAGAGTTCAACAGCCTCCATTTTTCTAGGGCTAGAGCAGAAAAAAACAGTCTATGGCTCTAATATCAGAGTCCTGCTCAATGCCTATGAATAGGCAACTCTCTCAGATGCTACTCTGTTGTAATTTTAAAGATATCCAGTGAATACTGAGGTCTAGGCATACATGCCTATGTTGGTAGAATTGGATGAGTCATGTATTCTCTTAAATGATCTTCATGAATCCTATTTTGTTGCTGTAGATGAGGCATATTTCATTTAATTACATTTTAAATTATTACATTTCATTTTTTTTCAGATTCCTTGGGGAACCTGGCATTGAAACAACTTTGTTTGTAATATCAGCATGAGAGTCACCTTTATCTGTTGGATGAATAACTAGAATGGCTTTATCAGTGTTAAGAAGACAGCACATAGGAAATGAGACAATATGCATATTTTTTGCTACCTAAAATAGAGAAAGTATGAGCTCAGTTTATAGAAGAGTTTGAGTATCAGCTGAAGTACATTGCTATTTCTATAATATAGGGATTACTCACCATTTTTCAAAACAAAAAAAATTTTGAAGGGTTTGGGATTTTGTTGTTGTTGTTGTTGTTTATAAAGCATGTTTTATTTTTTGTGTTGCATGTCAAGTGAATCTTTCTTTGTTTTCTTGGACATAAGCAGCTGACTTACTGCCTGTCTCACAAGTGGAATGTGTCAGAAAAGAACTATGATGGACTGTTCCCCAGGGGAAGGGGTGCCAGGAGCTGAGGGCAGCAGCAAGACTCACAGGGCAGTGCACTCACCAGCACAGTCCCACAGAGGCTGAGAGCTTGGTAGGTCTGAAGATGTTTACCAGGTTTCAGTCACCTCCCAGCAATCACCAGACAAATCTATTTTGAT